TATATTTTATAATTAGAGATGAAAAAGGCTATCATAAACGATTTTCAATATTGAAACCACATTTCTCGACACTATTTCTTGTACAAACTGCACCCTTTTAATATTATTATTTATTTCTCCCCAATGAGAGGTGCTCTGCCGACAAAGCTTTTGTCTTGTACAACTTATAATTTCTTGACAAGACTACCACCGGTGTGTTATCTGGCACTCTATGGACGCATTAACCGACTATTATTTAGATGGACGGCTATGATTTATCGCTTTTTGTCATGTCTCCTATGAGTAAGCTTTACGGTCTTTTGTTTTTTTGGGACTTTTAAAAATTTTGGTTTTCATTAGGAAAATCAAGTTTCGCATTCCTAGTATTAAGGAATAGAATTATTTATAAATATCAGTATTTCTAATTTTTTTTATAAATAAACATGGGTCATTTGCGTAATTCCGTGGCTCATCTTTAATACAAATTAAGAATTTGTAAGTTATAGTTGTTATATATTTTTTAAAACTTGTAAATATAATTATGGTTATGGAAAAATAATGATCGATAGGCAAACAACAGGACAATAACGTATCAAGATTCACGTATTTTTGCTAGATAATGAAAAGTCATAGTACATTATTCTTATTCTCTTTTTTTTTTGAAATCTTTAAAAAAGATATTTATAACAGTTTTTCGTGATTTATTTGAAATTAAAGCCATTTCAGGCCGATCCAACTGTCGATCCATCGATCTGGACCGATTTTTAGGACCGGAGATCCAGATCACTGATCCCTTTTTAAATTTTAGTTAGTTATGAAATTGTGTAGTCCTCTATCTTTTGCGTGGGAACAATATGGCACCATTTAAAAAGCGGAGAGGCCAGTTTGGAGATCTGACCTAGATCGAAACCAGTGGGGTGCTAGTCTTGTCCGGCTCCCATGGTTTTATTAAGTTATTTATTGTTTATTTAAAAAATATATTCATATGTTCTCATAATACCAAAGAGATCCCTCTAATTTTTTGTATTATTATCCTCTTTACCTTATCTTTATCCTCAATTTGAACTTTAAGTTCCGAAGTGATAATTACCTATATTAAAATTCTATACATTTGGTCCTAGTTTTAAAGTGTTTTTTTTTTAACTTATTTGAAGCTTTCATGACCAAAAGTCAAATGTCTCATCGAAATGACTTTTGATCTTGAAGTTCTTGCTCATTTCAATGAGTCTAAATTTGAATATTGAAAATCTGGATGTCAACAATATCTCATTGACTTAAAGAAGATCTAAAGCCAAAAATTCCAATATTTGCTTCGAATCTTCAAGAAAAACCCTGCCGACTTGGGCATAGCAGGATGAAGAGAACACAGTTTTTGTTTGTAAACTGTACTCTTCAATCCAAACATGCTTGGAAATGTCAATAATTTTGGAAAATTTATTCAAAAATTAATTGTATAAAGGGAAAATATCTCTTTAATAGTTTAATCCTTAAAATTACAATCAAAATGCTAGTATCTCGTCCAAACTTTAAAATATCTAGCAGCATCAAGCTTTTTCTAAGCATTTCTTCACACCCCTGCCTCTTATTTCCAAATATTTTTTATTTTCACCTTTCATAACTGCCTAAATAATAAGCCTTATTCCATTTTAACCCTTTGTAACTGCTCCAAACAATAAGCCTCAATACGCCTTATCCCAATTCAACCGTTTCTAAGTTCCCTAACCAATTCCCTAACAAATACGCCTTCTCTCTACCCTACAAACTTAACTTTCTCTCTCTTCAGTTCAAGAAAGGGGTGGCAATGGGTCGGGTCGGGCTAGACCCAAACCCAGAGGCGAATAGATTCGGGTCCAAGTTTTGGACCCAAACCCAACCCGTTGGGTCAAAAATTGAACTCATACTCATACCATTGGATTGGGTCCATTGTCAACCTGACTATGAGCTTCTTTTTCTCTTTTTTTTTTTTTTGCTCCCTTCTTTTACCATCATATATTTGTATTATTGGCAACAAGGTCACTATTACCCGCTATTAGATTTCAAGCTATGTAAATTACCGTCTATTTGTTAAAGATGACTACTAGTTGTAATTATATATAATATTTAATACACCCAAATGAATAAGACTTAGAATAAAGTATTTTATCTCTAACAATTTAGAGACAAAATACTAAGTAGAAACTACAAAGTAATACAAAATATATAATGAGATATTTATTTTAATATAAAGTGGTCACAATTAATCTTGACCATTGGATGAGAAATAAGATGGTTGCATTTATTTCATTGACCAGGCTCAAAATTCAAAAAAAATTTTATCAAACTTTGTGACACACCGAGCTATTAAATTTCACACACCGAACTATCAAATTCACATGGAATGGTTGTAAGTAATTGTGAGCGCCCAATACTAAAGATACATGGTCTCATTATATACAATCCCATAAAATAAATTGCCGGACACGGATTCACCATCGAGTCCCCACACAAAGCTACTAAAAGTGAACACGGATTCACCATCGAGTCCCCAGCTTACATGTCCAAGTCACCCGCTCTTATAACTCCAAAATGTTTAATATTAGAGCTTTTCTTTAAGGGCCGTTTGGGTACTTGGAAGCTCTTATAACTCCAAAATGTTTAATATCAGCGCTTTTTTTAGAGTAGTTTGGGTACTTGAAAATCTATTACGCTACAATAGATTACCGTTTGGGTACTTGAAAATCTATTATGACATAATAGATTATAAAGAAATATAGCGTTTATACCGTTTAGATATAGTTAAAGGTAAAAAATCATTTATAAGTTATAGGTAATTTTGATAAATCTTTCGAGTGCGTTTTTTTCTACCTTATCTATCTGATTAAAAAAATCGTTCTCTTGTATGCTCTCTCCCCTTAATAACAATAACTATCTCCCTAATAATATCCCTAACAACCATAACTATCTCCCTAATAATAATAACTAATATAGGTGATTCCGCTCTTTTAAGCTCGTCCCCTCGTACTCTCCATAATAACAACGTCCCCTCATACTCTCCGAAATAATAATAACAATGTCCCCTCATACTCTCCATAATAATAATAACTAGTATAGGTGATCCCTCTCGCTTTTTAAACTCGTCCTGCTCTCTCCCTATTAACAATAACTATCTCCCTAATAACAATAACTAGGTGATTCATTTCTTTTTAAGCTCGTCCTCTCATACTCTCTATAATAACAATAACTATCTCCCTAATAACAATAACTAAATGATTCTTTTTTTTAAGCTCGTCCCCTCATACTCTCTATAATAATAATAACTCATACTTTCCATAATAACAATGTCCTCTCATTCTCTTCGTAATAATAATAACTAGTATAAGTGATCCCTCTTTGTTTTAAGTTTGTCCCCTCCCTTTATACTCTCATGATAATAACTAGTACAAGTGATCTTTCTCCTTTTAAGCTCCTCCCCTTATCTAAAGACATCAGCCGTCATATAAAAACAAAAATAATAAAAATAAAAATCAATAATCAATGATAAATAACATAACACAATCATAATAAAAAATTTCTCACAACATAATCCTCATAAGAGATTACTAAAATCTCAATTGAAATAACATACATCTTGAATCTCCTCCAATACCTCAATATTTTATACTGCAATTTCCAAACCTTCTAGTTTACTAATCAAACTTCTTCTCAAAATTTTATAATGCAATTACCAAACCTTCTAGTTTACTAATCAAACTTCTTCTCAAAATTTTATACTGCAATTACCAAACCTTCTAGTTTACTAATGAAACTTCTTCCTATTTTTTAACTCATAAAGATTTTGAATTTAATATCATAAATTTATTGTTTATTTAAAATTATATAGAGAGACATGTGAAAGATTTCTATAAAAAATAAATAAAAATAACGCTTACCATAATAAAATCATGTTATTCCAATCATATTATTCCAATGACTTATCATGTTGAAACCAATGTCATGTTACATGTAATTCCATATAAATGTTAAAGGCATATACAATAAGTAAAAAATGGTATCATGATTACTGTAAAATAGTACAAGTTATTATTAAAAAATCTTTTTAAAATGGTGATGATGTTATTATTAAAAAAAATTTGGAATGGTTTGATGATTTTAATTCCGTATTTTAATGAAATTTTGTAACAAAAAAAAACAATAATTCTGCATTTTAGTAAAATTTTGTAACAAAAAAAAAAGAAAAGATATTTTATAAATACTTGTTGATAAATTATTGACATTTTCTATATTTCTTCCCGCCAAACAATAACAATGTATTTCTCATATTGCATCTAATACTACCTAATAACAATCCATTTACAAATAATGTATTATGCAATTATATACTACAACACCAGTAATATATTTCATAGACAATATATTTCCAGATATCCAAACAGGCCTTTAAAGACACCTAAAATGAAACTATAGCATCTCAATCTCACCTTTGGAAGGTCCAGTTTTAGAAACCTCGTCTCTAGGAAAGTGGATACCCTAAGTTCGCGGCATCCACTTTTTAGTTTTAAATATAAAGCAAGTGGATATGGTGGCATCTACCATGACCTGAAATTTGGCCATAGCCCGGGTTATCTGGAAATGGTCCAAGTAAACAGCCCCAACAAAGCGATTGACACCCGGGCTAAAAGATAAAATAAAATAAAATAAAAATGAATATAAAAAACTACAAAAAAGTTATGTTCAAAATATAATTAAACAAATTATATCCAAAATGAGATTACAAAAGCGGTGAAAAATAGATTTAAAAAATCAATTTGTGCTCAAGGGATTCTAAGAATAATACAAAAAAATAGAAAAATATAAAAATAAACAAACAATAGAAAACATTAAAAAGCCTTATTAAAAACAAATTTCTTATTTTTTAGATTTTTAATATTTTTTTAAAATTTGTTTTTAGGTTTAGGTTCTTGGCTTGACCACCGGCCCCGGCCTGTCACCGGTTAGAGGGGCAAAAAATAAAAAACAGAAAAATTCAATAGTGGATCCGATTCTGAAATTAACTCTTCCACAGCTCTCAAATATATTATTTCTTAAAAAATTGATAAAAGAAGCATACAAAGAGACCTTACTTTTTTACTTTTAGTTACAAAGAGATCACAGTCACTCTTGACAAGGAGAATTGCATGGCTTCTCTTTAACTGTATTGACCAGGAGAATTGCATGGCTTCTCTTTAACTGTATGTGAAGCTTTCGTATTGGGAACCTCAGCCATGCCGTGTAAAACCCATGATCCGTATTGGGAACCTCAGCCATGCCGTGTAAAACCCATGATCCTAACGTTATCGAAGAAGCCAAACTCCAAGACCAAGGTGTTCTCAGCACTCTCCACTGGTTCTTGTTACTTGGATGAGAGGATTTCGGCAAGGTGGAACATGTGCTTTACACGCTGGGTAAGTTTCTCAAATATATTCTTGGTGATCCTCTCTTGAAACATGGTGCTTTTCAGCCATGCAATTCCAACATAAACATGGCAGTTGCAGGTTTCAAGCAGGGTAGCTGAGTCTTCTATTTGATACCTCAAATGGACCTGAACACAATAGACAGAATTCCAATGAAAAAAAGAGAGTAAAGCAATTCATTCACATTCAAACACAAACTAATAGAAATAGTAGAGATGTTTGAATACTCAGAATCGTTCGGCTGAAGCCGAAGTGAATCTCTAATTTTGCACTAGATCATGTGCGAATTGGGGTTTCGGAAGTTTCCGAAAGAAGCGGCAGAAAATGTAGAGCACTAGCTAAAAGCCTAAAACTCGACCAATTCGACCAAATATCCGGTCTGATAGCTCTAACCTACAACATTTCCTTCAAAATTCCAAAAATTTGTATCCCCGCAATGGTGGAAATTCAGGTATATTATGTGCTCAACCTGAAACTAAGCCGAGCCGAAATTTGCACAAACAAAGTAATGAATATGACAAATGTTCCTCTCCCTTTATCTCTCACTAAGGCGACCAATATTGGTCTTTCTCATATACAGCATTATGCGTACCCGGAAATGGTCGCCGAATGGGACATTATGCAGAGTCATGACCTCATCAACAACCCAACCGATACCGTCAGCCATGAGTGACTTTTGTTGTGTGCTGGTTACTTCCTCTCCAAAATTTGAGATATGGCGGTTCAACTTGTAGCTGATATGTCTCTCATAGACCTCAGGCCTAACAGCTTCCCAAGGAGTGGTTGTATAATTTAAGCAGCCCGCTTTATCCATTATCTTTCTGTCCAAATAGCCTCCACCAAACATTTCCATCAGTGAGTTGATCTGTAAATAACTCATTATCAATTGCATTTCATGCAAAACTGCGAAATAGAGCACCAGTTATTTGTGAATTTTATGAAAGAAAATGAGAGAGGGAGGTACAAAGGGGCTACTATTGCATGTCAGATGAAAGTGAGGTGTGTAACAACACATCTCTGCTTTCAGGTTTTGTATAAATCAGAGAGAGATGATTAGAACAGCTGTACTCACTGAAACAGGAAGAGATGCAGAATACGCCTTTGACATATTTGCATCCTCCACACCCAAGAAAGAACCACATTCTTCAGTTGGAGTAATTTTCCCATCAGGACAATGTTGGTCATCTGCTATTTGTGCTTTCATCTCAGGTGTTAAATTTCTTGTTCTCCATAAAGCCATAATGGTCCTGATAGAAAAACCAAGTCACCACATTAGCATTAGCATGGCTTCAACCATGAAAGACCACGAAAGTTAAAAAATAAAAAATACAAAAAGACCACAAAAAAATAGGAATAATGTGTTTAAAGTAAACTTAAACAAAAACATCTAAATGAGGTTCAAAAAGTAATGAAAAAATGGATTTTGAAAAAAAATCAATTTGTGACGGGTACTGTAGAAATAATCCAAAAAGACAGGAAAATGTAAAAGAAGTATTCACGGCCAAAAGCCTTTCCAAACTTTCCCAAATGTTAGAAAACATATTAAAAATAAATTTCTTATTTTTTTTCTTTTTTTATTTATTTATAATTTTTCAAATTCCCTGAGTCTGACAACCCAACTCAAAGATACTCAAGAGGTGGCGAGTCCGAGTTGGCTCCCCCCAGTTTTCCTTCACTTGTTCATATCATGACATTGGTATTTATGGTTTATACCTGCTTGCCACATTGAAAGACACAAATGACTGGAAGTGAAATTTTAACCGGCCTTCCTCATCTTGTGTCTTTGCACCATGCCTAGCATCAAGGCCTCGGCCCTTGTGCAGAGTTATCATCAAAGATGGGCTCCCCACTGATGCTAGAGAAGGGGGTACCACTTGTATATCTTCAATGTCTTCCCAAAGGAAAAAGAACTTGGTTTTATGACCGAACAAGTTTGCATAAAACCCAATTATTCTGGCAGATAAAAAGAGGCGTCCCTGCATCAAAAAGATGGCAGTTGTAAGTTTAGTATGTATTCTCATGGACTGAAAAATGCATGGTAGCTTTTCTTCTCCAATGAGAGAGCAAGGCAGATAAGAGAGGAACTGGTTGCTATAACATGTTTTACAGGTATTAATGGAAATATATAAAATAGAAAGTGTGGTACAAGTCAAAGGGGTATGGAAAAACATGGTCCATTCACCAATGTGATAAGAGACATAATGGTGATTTAGAGAGAAGTCGCGCCCACCAGAACAGCACAAGGTCCTTTCATCTGATGATTGAGACTTTGTTTTCCATAGTTTGATTGCAATATAATTTTCAATTATCAAATTTCAAAAGGAACAGGCATGCAATAAGTTGTTTTTGGGGAAATTATCGCATGGTCCGAAAACTCAAGATGTGATTGTTCAATTAAATAGATCCATAGAACTACATGATAGTACAAGTGATAAACTTGCCTGGAGAGGCATCTTGCGCTTTAGGTAACATGAGAAATCATTGATGAGAAACTCTTCTGGGGGCAACCCAAAGAGCTTCTGAAACATAGAATTCCTATGAGGTGACCGCAAATTTATCTGCAAAAATTACCAACATTGATTATGAAAAGAACAGATGAAAATGAGGGCATATGAGTGGATATTTTACCTTCTCTCCAACCTCCTTTTCCATCCTTGCCAAGTACTCTTTGATGATTTCTGCCCCCTTGGTATTGTCCAAGAATATTCTTAAATGCAACTTGGACTGTGAAGCTTGGGCCAGTTTGCCTTCTAGGGGAACCCAAATGTCTGCGAGTTCTGCAGAATTATGTTTTAGAAAATTTATCTCTGCATGTCCAAGAGAAGTGGCCTCGTCAAATGGCCCATCATAATCAAAAACTTCCACATCAAGCATGGAGGGAGGCTCCTCCATTGCATCAAACTCGAATATTTCTGCAGTGTTAATAAGAATCCCCGATGTCTTATTGAATATTTCTCGAAACAGATCTCGAGACTAATAATATCAAAAAGGCATATTGACGCCATCTATATGCATTTCACCAAAAGCATGCTAATGATTGTGAATACATGAAACACTTTTAAAAAGTTATATTGTGATATGCTGGAGTAGACTGAAGGCAAGAAAGTCCATTGAAGAGTAAAGGTATTTCGGATACATAGATCACATGGTACAATAAAAATAGTTGAATTTTTTTGAGTTCTAAAAGAATAAAACAGTTATCAGAAACCATAGTTTCATCGTGGTGAGTGACTGATAATTCGTGTTAAAGAAAATATGAGGAACTCTCATCATATTTCAAAAGAATATGCTGTTTTGGTTGTTTAAGGGAGATAATTGACAAAAATAGATTGTTCAAAAAATTCTTAACAGAAGTGAATGCTGTATAAAGGGATCGGTAGAACCTATTACTATTGCAGATGCTTCAATAGTTTGTAGAGATAATGCAAAGGACACGCAGCATCATATTCACCACACTTGTAATATATATGAATAAAAAACGTAATATATATGAATCAGAAACTTCAAAGAAAGTTTCCTAGAATGGATGCAAGAATCTAATTTGAAACTGTAGGGGCTGTTGGTTGTATGCCTATTCAATAGTAAGTTGTATATGTTCTTAGCAATGTTATAAAATTCGCTTTGCTTCGGCCGAAGAGGCCGAAGCCTTCGGATTTTGGGCATAAACCAAAGAGAAGAGAAGCCAGGCGCTGCTGCTTCGGTCAGATTCAGGCTGCTTCGGGTCTGCTTCAGACATGATTCGGGTCTTCTTCAGGTCTGCTTTGGCCAGCAAAGAAATAGCTAAATAAAAGTTTTTATTTATTTATTTATTTTTCATTATTTGTATATATTTTATATATAAATATCTAATTTATTTATACTAAATTAAAAAAAAGGTCTGAAGTCTTCCCCGAATCAGCCAAAGCACCGAATTGCTTCATTTTTCTCCCCAAACCAAAGAAGACTCCGAAACGAATCTGACAACATTGATTCTTTTAGTGTTAATCATGAACAAAGGAAAAGTGTTAACCATGAACAGAGGAAAGACCTTTTTTTTTGGATCTTAGTAATTTCTAAATAAACGGGGATAGGAAATGGGAGCTAACCATGACTAGGATGGAGCACAATAACTAGGGCCCAAAACATTCCTTTTAAATTCTACCTAGAAATGGCTCCCAAATATGAAAAGTGGCCCAGACAAACTGGAAATCCACCTAAAAGCCAACAATCTATACTAGATACATAGATATCAGAATTCAAAATTTTACCATTCCATTGTGGGTCCTTGGTCTGAAGTTTAATTGAACTTGTTCGAGCTTTACCATCGCATGTGAATACAACATAGGGGTCTGAAAGCCCAGTTGCCCCAACAGATGCTAAATTGCTTCCTTCCAGTAAAGCCACTGTCAGCAACCACCCATCACCTTGTGCTTTGATCCCATTATCACTGCCTATGATTCAGAGAAATGAATAAAATGTTTCCCAAGATAGAACATTTCATTTAAAAAAATCCAAGAAACAAATCTTGCATAATGATAGTCCATCACTTTAAAGAAACTCTAGAAAAGAGTGAAAAGAGAGCACATGTCACAGAGACAGAGAGAGAGAGAGAGAGAGAGAGATGAGGTTGTTACTTACAAAATTTAGGTTTTTACTCCATAAGGCAAAACTAAAAATACAGAAAAATATTACCTCTTTGTCATAGAAACCAAATGGCCTAACACTTATAATGGAGAAAAATAGTACCTCTTCGTAATCTAGCCTGCACAAAATGTGACACCATTTCCAGAACTCGCTCAACTTGAAGAACCAAAAGGCCAGCTGTGAGTAACTCGCCAAACGAATCAGGTAAATCTAAACCAGTGAACTCAAGGCCTTGAATTGTGCTGGGCCCAGCCAGGATAATATGACAAAGAAAATACAACCCCATGAAAATAGTTGTAACTACAGTGAAATTCCAAAAGTATTCGACGGGCAACTTCCAATCTGACTGTTGATCCATCTGAACTGATGCCAGAACCAGCTCCTTGTCCAAATCCACTTCTCTCGAATCCACTGCCTTGACCTTCTTGGCTAGAAAATCTGTAAACTGGTCATAACTTTCCTTGAGTCCAGCACGAGTACCTCCTTCAATTATTCCTTTCAGCATAACACTCTGTAAGAAATTTAAATGCCATGATATAACCAGGAGCGAGGTCTCTTCTCCAGAAGATAATTCGGGCCCTCGCATTACTTTATAGAGCAATTCGACCTGGAAAGAACTCCCATAAGGAACATCAGGTACACTCACACTATTGAAGATAGCAAAGGATTTTCCACTGGCTTTAAGATAGGTTTGCTCCTCAGTTGCTCTCACAGATTTAACCAATTTGGTAGCTGGTTTTTTATATTGGAGAGTTCTCTTTAAAGTTTCTCCATCATTGTCCCATTTCCAAGGTCCCTCTCTAAGATCGGTTATGCCTTGAAGTTCTATGAATTCTCTGGAAAACTGGGAATTGGGTGCAAAAAGAATAGAGTTGAGATCATTGGGTTTTACTTTATATGCCTGATTGATGAGTACTCCTCCAGGTAGATTATCAGGAAGTTCATTTTGCTGATCTCTTGACTGTAGAATGCTAAGAGCTTCTTCAAATGTAGAGTCTAAGGATGAACCTTCATCTAACTCTCTTGCATCGTCTGATATTGTGCTGCTACAATCTAACGAATCCATGTTTTTTGTTGTAGGTGCATTTGAATTGTCATTCTTGCTGAGAAACCTCTTAACCAAACGGCCAGCAAGAGCTTGGAAAGAAGGCTTTTCTTCAGCCAAATCATCTAATCCTGTCTTAGAAGGTTTAGTGGGCGCTAATTTATGCTCTACAGATGAGTGCGCACTATCAGACAACTTTAAAAAATCAGAGGGAAGTGGATGGATGGCACTGGGATTGTTGTTGGGCCTCCCATACAATGATATAATGAGAAGAATTTCTCCTGAGTTAATATCCAAGAACCCATTCAGAAAGGGATATATTAAATAGGAGAAATTCATTGAAGTGTAAAATGTGTCTCGACAACGAAAGATAAATGTGGGAGAACGATCGAGTGAAATAGCAACAGGAATTTTTTTTTATTTAGTCTAGATCTCGCTGGCAGGTTCCATTTTCTTAGCTTTCTTGCTCTTTTAAATTAAGTTAAAAATATGTAAAATTAACACTAATGTTTTATTTGTGAAATTCTTGCATTCATCCAGTGTATATTTAGTAATCTAGTCAGAAACTTTAACATCCTCTTCAAAGGATGTAAAAAAATACCCCATCCCTTTTGATGCTTCTCATTTCCATACATCTATGGAAATGACCTATGCTGCAATCATGATACATACGCTCAATTTCCTATTGTAACCCACCTTTCTCTAAGATTATCTGTAAACCTAATTTATCTACTTGTGCATAACATTACTACTCTTTTTTTTTGACAAGACATAATATTACTACTCTTAATAAGAAATAGTCCGCTCTAAAATTTTCAGGGGTCGTATCACTTCAGAGCTGTGTTAGCATGATGTCTCTTGCCTATACTTGAACTGAATGCATGACCTTCTTTTAATGGGTGAAACGAATAGATCACAGACAATGTTTGGTCATAGATGTCTTATGAGCCTGAAACTCTATCACTATAAGTATTTGTACATTTTCTATAACGTGTTTCTTCTTCTTCTTTCCTTTTTTTTTTTCCATCCAATCTCTACTTAAGGTTCTTCCCAAACTATCACAATTGCCTTTTTCCAGTAGCTCCTGTATTATCAGTTAAAAGCATGAGGATCACTTAGTTTTCTTGAAAAAATAGTTTGAAGGTATGGACAGCCAATTAAATATGCAGCTAAGCTTCCACAAAAATGAAAGGGACTCTGACTAAGATTTGTTCAAGATGAAGGTATGTCAAAGATGCTCTTTTGAATCTCTACATACACCTGAAATCACAATTCTAAGAATTAAAAAACTAATTGAAAAAAATTGTCACTAAACTTCCATCAAGATCCATGGTACTCTAGTTGAGCATTGTTCAAGCTAAAAGATACATCAAAAAACATGTTGCACAGGCAGGACATATGATACAAGGCAGGGTTTGAAACCACCAAAACCTAAAAATCTGTTTACATCAAGGTCTTCATGTTCAATTTCGAAGCCCAAGAAAAAAAGAAAAAATAAAAAACTTCCATTTAGCCACACATCATGCAACCTTAGTGAAACATACATAGCTTCATTCATCCAAATCTACATAAATTTCAAACAATAAGAAAAACAGTTAAATTTCAGCATTGGAATCCTGAGATGTTTACTTGACATCTCTTAGCCTGTGTTTGATGTTTCTGAGTTTCTTTATAATTCTTTTTTAGTAGTGAAATTTTCAATGATGATAAAAAAAAAAGAAAAGAGTAACACCTAGAAAACAAAGCAACCCATTATTGAAAGTCACATGTATTGATCAACTCTATTATGATACATGCATGCATGATAGCATACATATACATACATCATGTTTGTGATGTGTATCATAATGTGCATACCACAATCCTTGATCTTGGACTTGTTGCTTCTCTGGTGTAGTTTAAACCAGGTTGGTGGCAAGGTCTGGTTGTCTGCCTCAAACACCCTCCAGACAGGAATTCTAGCCTCACCTGTAAACTCACCATCGAAGAATCCATCCTTGTCCAAAACACATATACTCAGTTCATCATCCAAATCTTCGACTTGGAAAACAAACTCCTCATTCCAAATGGGTTTCAGAATAATGTTCACAAGCCTAGTTCTAAATATATACTTCCCAATCTGTAGCTTAACATACGCATCAGCACGCCCATTGAAATCATATGTTAATGAATTCCTTGTTTCCAAAACATGAACATAAAGCCTCATTCTCCAACAAAAAAAAAAAACTTCAAACTTGAAAATGCAAATGAGAACTTGGATTATACATTTCAAATTATTTTTCACTTGTCCTGTTGCAAACTTGTAATTAAAAAAACCAGGTGCAATCTAGAAGAAGCTAGAGAACATGGTCATAATTCCTAAACCAAGTTGAATGCTAGAAAACTTTTGATGCATCAAGAAAAGAAAACAGTACAGAATTAATCTCAAAAATCAGATTTACAAAATAGAACAAGAAGGGCTGTGAATTGGATATGAAAAGGATAAGTATTCTTTCATGGCACATATATCAGCAAGCAAATTTTAAAAAACCTGAAAGAAATTCAAATTTCGAACATTCAATTCAAAACTGAAAGAGAAAACTCACTTAAATATCAATACATGACTAATATCAATAAACTATTAACAAAACCATAAATAAAAGGATTGATATCTCAAAACCAAATCTCAAACTGCAATCACTACAGTATAAAAACTTGGAATGATGGCTCGAAAATTCTTGAAATAGGACTGTTGTTTCGAATCAAATATACCCAAAAAGTAAATCACATTGGGCATATATCAAAAACCCAACTCCAAACTAAAATGATATCAGCCTGGTTCCTATACTTAAAAGAGTTTTGGGGCAGTGAAAAACACCAGAAGAAAAATGACCGAAAAAAAATGGAAAATAGAGGAAAATTTCAGGTACCCACGTTACGAATGAACACAAGTAACAGAAAAATAGAGAAATTACATGAAATTTTACCCAACTCAGAAAATAAACTCTGGTTCTAAGGTTTCAGATTTGAATGCCATTTTCAGTTGAGAAGAAGACCAGTTAAAGAACCTGAAGCAGGGAGGAGCACAACGCAGTGAAACGTGGACGTCTAAGAACAAGCCACGTTGAAATGACAAAAAGCCATCTGGTGAGAAGGTAGTTTGTCTGTAAGCCCACGCAGGCAGCCCGTACTTAAGTGTGGGATCTCTCATTTTCTCAAAATGTCTGCAAATATCGAGACACACCCATTTTCTCTCTCTTATTTTCATAAAATCTCTGCAAATTTCGAGACACCCATTTTCTCTCTCTAGATTCTCTCTCTGATTAAAATGAAATTTAGTCCTCGTTTCCCCATTTGAGAAGTGCCCCATCTCTAGTTTTGTGTTCTTTATGTAGATTCCAAAGTGCATTTCCTTCATTAAAATGAAGGTTAAAGTGCGTGGTTTCCAAACTTCAAAACTTTTTTCTTACCTCTACCCTCTACTGGTTTCCAAAATTTCAGATTTAAAAAACTTTTCGAGGTCTTCTGATTTGAAAAACTTTTCGAGGTCTTCTAAGTTCTACCTAAGGGAGTAGATATACAGTATATTCCTGCTACAACAGGACATACACGCATAAAAAGAACTTGAAAGAAACTAGAAATAGAATATTACGTACGGACCACATGGTCGATTACAAAACGAGGACACGTTATTCTCAATTTACGGGTGGCACCCCTTCCCAATTTTTATTTTTTTATTTTTTATTATTATTACATGTTTTGGTAAACCAGACACGGGACATATGGGTTTCGTTGGGTTTAAACGAAAAAGAAGGTGTCCAGTTTCTTCATCCATGGCTCCATCCGCTGTCCTTCCATTGAAATTCTTAGTCCATCATCTATTCTTTCTCCACTTTTATCCAATTTGAAAGCCCTGAGAGCACCTGAAGCAGCCATGACTAAAACCAGCGTTTAAAAAAACGTCGAGTTGAACCGGACTCGCCCCGTTCGACTCGAGAATCGTCATGGACGGATCGAATTGGTGAAAAACGGGAATCGTCCGGTTCTAGAGAGAACCGGACGATTCTGTACAGTGACTTGCCGTTCACTGTACGGAATCAGCGAGTCCCGTACGGCTTTTTTTTTTTTTAATTTAAATCCATGATAGATTTTTTTGTAATACTTGATCGATTTTTTTGTAATCCATGATCGAATTGTTTTTTTTTTTTTGTAATCTATGATCGAATTATTTTTTTTTTGTAACCCATGATAGAATTCTTTGTAATCCATGATCGAATTTTTTGTAATCCATGATCGAAATGTTTGTTTTTTTTTCTTCTAATCCATGATCGAATTTTTTGTTTTTTTTTTTTTTTTATAACCCTTGATAGAATTTTTTGTAATCCATGATCGAATGTTTTGTAATCCATGATCGAAATGCTTGTTTTTTTTTGTAATCCATGATCGAAATGTTTTTTTTTTTTGTAATCCATGATCGAATTTTTTGTAACCCATGATAGAGTTTTTTGTAATCCATGATTGAATTTTTTGTAAACC